CCCCGATAATTCTCCCCACACATAGTACATACTTTTTTTTTTTTTTTCCTTCTCTCCCTTCAAGGTCTCCGATTCCGATAACCCCCTCTACCAGCTTCGCCCTGCCTTTTTTTCCCTCCCCTCCCCCGAAGCTCCATTTCTCTCTTCTTCCCCTCCATTCCTCATTCTTCTTCTTCCGTATTTCCTTTATATGCTCCTATCCCCAGACCATTTCTCCAGATTTCTCTCTCCTTTTCCCCTCTCCCTTTCGACAATTAGTTGATTGACTACATCCATCTCGGGTTACCTACTTACAATACCAATTCCGGATATACTCTATCCCACCCATCACCACATTCCATAACATCGCCCTTTCGTTGGGAAAGTCCCTATTCCTTGGAAATTGGTTACATCGCACCTTCTTTGATCGCAAGGCTTGTGATACTCCTTGCGGTGCTCGTTCATCAACTAGTTCTTTGCCAAGAGCAAGTCTCCGTCTTGTCGGGTGGTGATCGACTCCCCGATTTACCTACCCCTGTTGCGACGAATCCTAATTCGCCTCGGCTCTTCAGCCCTCCCGAGCTCCCTTAAATACAGACTTCGTCCCCTCTTTAGCTACACTCCTCGGTGCTAGGTTAGGACGAGTCACATGCCACCACCGGCTTCTTCAGTGGATTTCACCAATCTGCTGAACCCTCAGAATAACGAGACTGGTTCTGCACCTTCCACGCCAGTGGATAGCTCTAAGGGTCCTTCCACCCCGTCTAGTACACAATCCAACTCTACCATGGCCTCGTCTGTTAGCCTGCTACCGCCCCTCATGAAGGGTGCCCGTCCCGCAACGGAGGAAGCGCGCCAGGATCTTCCCCGACCATACAAGTGTCCCCTCTGTGATCGCGCCTTCCATCGTTTGGAGCACCAGACCAGACATATTCGCACACATACGGGCGAAAAGCCACACGCCTGCCAGTTCCCTGGCTGCACAAAACGTTTTAGTCGTTCTGACGAGCTGACACGCCACTCAAGAATTCACAACAACCCCAACTCCAGACGGAGTAACAAGGCACAACAGCATCTGGCCGCGGCCGCTGCCGCTGCCGCGGCTGGACAAGAGAATGCAATGGTGAACGTGAACAACGCGGGCTCGATGATGCCCCCGCCCAACAAGGCGATGACCCGTTCTGCGCCTGTCTCTCAGGTTGGATCTCCGGATGTTTCTCCTCCGCACTCCTTCTCGAACTATGCCGGTCACATGCGTTCCAACCTGGGACCATATGCTCGCAACACCGAGCGGGCGTCCTCGGGAATGGATATCAATCTTCTTGCCACCGCTGCATCTCAGGTTGAGCGAGATGAGCAGCATTTTGGATTCCACGCTGGTCCACGTAACCACCATTTGTTCGCTTCGCGTCACCACGCCGGTCGAGGCCTGCCTTCCCTTTCGGCGTACGCCATCTCGCACAGCATGAGCCGTTCGCACTCTCACGAGGACGAGGATGGTTACACTCATCGCGTCAAGCGCTCGAGGCCTAACTCACCAAACTCGACCGCTCCGTCCTCACCGACTTTCTCTCACGACTCTCTTTCCCCAACGCCAGACCACACCCCGTTGGCAACCCCTGCTCATTCGCCCCGCCTGAGGCCATTAGGATCCAGCGAACTTCACCTTCCTTCGATTCGCCATCTGTCCCTCCATCATACCCCTGCCCTTGCTCCAATGGAACCCCAGCCGGAAGGACCTAACTATTACAGTCCCAGCCAGTCCCATGTTGGTCCCACCATTAGCGATATCATGTCCAGACCCGACGGAACACAGCGTAAACTGCCCGTTCCACAGGTTCCCAAAGTCGCTGTGCAAGATATGTTGAACCCCAGCACTGGGTTTACGTCTGTTTCCTCATCGACGAATAATTCCGTCGCAGGAGGTGATTTGGCAGAACATTTCTAGCCTGATGCCGCTGCGAAACCCTTTCAATGTATAAAATTTTGGGCTCAAAAAAATTCTTGACTGTCATACGCGCTACGAAACGAATAGACTTTGTGCATTTACAGTGTGTGGTTCATGGGCATCCTTGGTGTCGGCTAATTGGCTTTCTTTGCTTACTTTGTTCGAGTACATTTTTGCGAGGCGTCCATACTGATAGACGGGTGGGATATTCTTGTGGCTTTTTTCCGTGCTTGTTCGATTCTCCCCTTTCGCTATCCCTGAAAAATACCTTTCTTATCCTACAACCATCATATGTTTCATTATCCCAATGGGAATTGGCTCTACAGCTACTCTACATTTTGTCTACTCCTCTCCGGGGCCCAGTCCCCTGATAATTCCTGGCTCTACCATATACATTTCATTTCGACTATGTCACTTTTTGCTTCGATTTAGACCTCAAGCAGGACGAGAGGGTTTCCAAATTATAAAAATATAAACAAAATGTTACAATAATCTCGGTATTTACTCTTACATGACATAGTAGATTCATCCATTACTTAATGTAGAAATAATTTGGATGGTCATCTATTCTCACTTGTCCTAACCTTCTACCATCTGCTGCTAGGTAGTAGTTATTGTCATATTTACCCGAAACCCAATTCAATGGGATAGATGGGTTGACGAATAACAATTTGTTGTCCAGCGACGTGCATGAATACGTACGTACGTACATACATGCTACTACTAGTTCATCACATCATGGTCTAGAATATTACAATAAATAGGGGATGCGCAAGGGCTTGAAGGAAAGCAAAGAAAAGAAAAAAAAATTAAAAAAATAAAATATAGAAAAACAATTAAGGCCAAGGTTAATGCTGGCTGGCACTTTCTTTTCATCCCTAGTCAATGCTATTTAATGTTGATCTCTAGGCTGCTCACTCAGTTGTGGACGTGGCTCCAGTCAAGTTGTGAATTATGATATAGGTAGTATTGACTTATAAAGTTGAATCCTGATGGAACATGATTTGATTCCTTCTATTTTCCCCGCTAGATTCTGACGCTTCAGGCTCTCGGATCGAATGAACAACTTCTGCACCCACCACATCAACCGGTTGACGCGTGATGCTGGAGACAAACCAACCCACACGCCACGGTAGTACGGGAGATAAGTTTGCTGAAAGCAGGTGATATCTCCAAGATAGAAGAAGGTAAAGGTCATAAAAATCATTTCAATACGATGGCAACTTTCCCCCCACCAATCCTTAATCATTTTTCCTTTCAAGCTGTGTTGCCCCGCTTTGGTGCATGGGCTTGGGTAGTGCGGTCGCAAAACTACTAATTTAATGACCGATGCTGCTGCTGCTCTTTCACTCGCCGCTCACGGACTAAGTATGTGGGAACAGGATCGCCTCGTCACTTTTTCAGATCGTGTCGTATCAAAGTGTTCGCCCGGCGCTGCTGGCACGAACGTCGGCCATCCAAGATCATTGTTCTCATTCGAACCAGGCGGCTTACGTCTAGCCGCGGACGTAAGCACGAAGAGTGTGTGTAGTGGTGGGAGTGAAGCCGTTGCCGCAACGATGCCCTCCTCCACGGCCGTCCCGTCTCTATCGAGCGACGCCGCATCCGCTTCATCCTCGTCAGTGGGTGTATCTCTGGAGACAAGATGGGCGGAAGGTCTCGCCGGCCAGGAGATATTAGAAGACGATGGAACGGGCGCACTCGTCGTCCCGCCGTCTCGCCCTGCTCGTCAATATCATCATCACACCTATATCTGTCTGTTCTATATCTTAGATTGTCATCACACCTTCGACGACGTCGAGCAATGGAAGACTCACGTTCTGAGCCACTTCCGAACCCACGAACCCCCGCGAACAGCCCGATGCCCTCTATGTCCCGGTGAGCGGTTCAGCGACACCCCTGAACAGAAAGGATGGGATCGCATGCTCGACCATGTCGATGTAGCACATTATCAACGGGGCCAGACCCTAGCCGGAAGCCGACCGGATTTTGAACTGATGCAGTATCTTTACCGCTTGCGGATTATCAGCGTTGACCAGTTCAAAGTGATGCAGCTGCCGCCGCCGCCGTCTAGTCCTGCTTATCATCGATCACAAGAACCTGTCCGGGCAAACATAGGGTCGTCAGATGAACCATACTGTGCTCCGTATAGTCGACGGCGAGAACAAAGGATGCGAGGACAGCGTCGAGGGGTCAGCGTCGGATGATGTCGTGTGGGCTTTTTATCAGTCCACAGGCTGTGTGGCGTGACTTCATGCAATGATGGTCTGCCTCACTGGGTACCAGTGGGGCCTTATTTCCTTATTCCAAGCCGAAACTGACTGAGGAAGTCGTGCGTGGTCTCTCTTTCTATTAGCTTTCTCTTTCGTTTCTTCCAGACCTTTCTGTGTTCCTGTAACAACTTCCGATACTGATGGCCGCAGGACATGTTAACGAACAGACATAATGTCTCACGACAGATTGTGTATTATCTTTCCTTCTGCAGGGTGGTATGAATAATGTTATCTAGCGAAAAGTCTTTTTTTTTTTTTTTGTTTCATGGAGCAATCCAAGATGCACTAAACTGCTTCGCGAAGCAAGGGCACCTGCACTTAGGAAGAACTCAAGCAAGGTATCTTCAGAAATCTTATAACCTACAGTAGTGCCTACCCTTGGCACACGCTGTCTCTACTCTTCAAGGGGTAATGTGATATTCGGTGAGTCTATTTTCGACACATCGCATTTCCCCGCATGACTCGTAAGCTGCTGCATGGTAGATGCTGCAGGGACAAAAGTACCACCCCCCAAGTATGGACCTTGTCTTGCACATAATGAATGAGTGTATGAACACTTGCGGTCCAAGGGGACGAGATATGCTGCGGGCAGTTTCTCGTGTATTGTGAGCAGTGGCGACTGCACTATCTATATTTCTAGCATAATTGTTCTCATCGCGATGCCATGCTGCGTATTCTGACCACAGAAACTTAGGAGTCAATTAAGGAGGAAATACTAATAAGAAAACGTCATGACCCAGGGTTAATCGCTACAGGCTGACGGCTGCAAGCAAGACCCTTATTAATTTTCAAGTTTAATGAACAACCCAAGATCCGACTGCTACAGTCCGAGCTTGGGGATTCTACAAGAATTGTAATACCACTACTCGATATTGGGTTCCAATAGAAGGACGTTTGCGAGTGGCTATGCTAGCAGTTACTCTCAGAATACCTTACTCAAGTAAGTGAGAGGGGTGACCATACCTTTGAGAGCAAGTCATGAAGAACGGGGCCATAAAGACGTCGGAGAATATCAGGGAGGGGATCCTAGATTACTCCTCCAAGTTATACTGTTATGCTGTAAGCCATTTTGCAATATGAAATACAGTTTTTGCAATATTAGCTTGATATTCTCTGTTTCTTAGGGGATCTTGTTTGAAGATCTTAGGATCATGGGCAATAGGGTGGTCAGATAATATCAGGGACCGGTTGATAAAGTGATTCAGAAATAGTGATTCCATGTCTATGAATATCATACTGCAGCCGCGAAACATGCTCTACAAATTGTCTTGTATGGATCAAGTTAAGAGCAACGTTCAAGTACGGAGTATATTCATTGCCTTTAGATCTAGACTAGGGCTACGGAGTCAACACGGACCCATTGTGTCATGAACTGGCGGCGCATGACAAACAGAACAAACATGCGGTCCAAGCAGTGTCCATATTCAATCATTCATTCCCACCACATCGAACTAACTCAGCACGGGGTTGCTTACAGCACAACCCACACTCTTATTTCTCCTGATATTTGCTATCGCAGTATGCGATTATCAACATTTGTCTATTTTATTTGAGAGTATCCTACCAGAATCAAACTTCCAAGCCTCGTCCCACCGCAATTGACAGCGGAATTGTCACCTCTACCTCCCCCACCCTTTCATCATCATACTCCATACAGTCCGTGCCATAGGAGACATGGAACGACTCTCGATTAACGACCACTCTGGTAGTCACCAGCAAGGAAATGCTCCGCCAGGATTCCCACCGCAGAATAACTCACTGGGCCCGATGTCGCAAGGTCCGCCGCAGTTACCGCCGCAGATGTTCACGACCGCTGCTCAATTGCTGGATTTGACGGATAGTATGTCTGCTTTGCCTTTATCGTTTCGCCTTCGAATGTATGGCGACTATATTTCAGTGGGGATACGGATTAACAATGATCAGAGAAACTCGTCCTAGTGCTACGAGACGGAAGAAAATTGATTGGAGTCTTGAGAAGTTGGGATCAATTCGGTATGGGTTAATTTAGTTGGCTTCAAATGCGATCGGTGATCTAATGCGCTCCAACTCTCGATTTCTACAGCGAATCTCGTTCTCCAGGATACTGTTGAGCGGTTGTATGCAGGCAATCTCTATGCGGAGATCTCCCGGGGTATTTTCTTGGTTCGAGGAGAGAATGTGTTGCTTCTCGGTGAAATTGTATGGTGCCCTAGAGATCTTTATATTTCCATTTTACCTTCTTGGTTCCACTTTTCCCTGGCTTCTTCTATTGTGGACTGTGCTTACATGATGGTTTGCGCCGTAATAGGACCTCGACAAGGAAGACGATATCCCGCCACATGTGCAAAAGGCCCCATTCGAGGAAGTCTTTAAACTGAAAAAGAAAGAAGATAGCGAGCGAAAGACTGGGGACAAGAAACGTCAGGGCAAGCTACAGGGTCTTGGCTTCGAGGCCGAACATAGCGGGGAGATCCTGTTCTAGGCTAGAGCAAGGGCCTTCTGTCGATTGATATCTGTCTACGGTGCTCTTTTACTGGGATATAGGCAGAATGAGACACTGTTTGCTCGTGAAGGGAATAGGGCAAATGTCTCAAAGTGGATTGATTTGATATGTGAGGCTAAGAATAAAAGGGCCTTGCAAGATCGTCGCGGAAGCCAGGCTATTGTTCTTCTTGGCCCATCGCCATACTGCGATATGACGAAGAATGCGGTGGATGTAGCGGCTTTCTTGGCTTTTCCTAAAGCTTACGAAGTGATCTGTCATCTAGTTGACGGTGTCACTGGAACTATTGGACTAAATATGGCTGGTATGATGAGGTGGTTGAGAACAAGATACAGGCTCGAGCCTGGTCAAATGATTGGATGATAGCGGCCATGTTTGACGATTCTGATGTCTCATTACGCTTTTCTTTTCTTTTCTTTTGTTTTCCTTTCAACTGTTTTATTCAAATATATGAACCAAGAACTCGCTGCTGGATGAGGCATGGTGCAGTTTGCCTTGCTCCCAGGACTCTCAGGATACCATGAAATACGAGTCTTGTGAAATCCCTAGAGAAATTCTGTGAATCGAACGAGTGTAGAATTGTTTCACTTGAATAAGATTAAGTTCTATGGACATGGGCTGATAGTTATCGATAGCTATCGATAGGGCCCGCCAAGAATTTATCTCCGTACCTTTTTTTTCCCAATTTTTTACTGTACCCAAAAAAACCATTCACTACTCAAGAAAAAAAAAAATCTCCGCTTTCACCGCACCTTCTTTTCTTACCTCCCTCCCCATACTAGTCGCAATTTTTGAAGCGACTTTCTCTACTTCCTGTCGGTTGATCCGCCCACCATGGCGACCCTGGCGGAGAAGCTCGAGAAGATCAAGTCTCCCAAATTGCAGAATCAGCACCATGTAAGTCCCGCGCGCTGTTGTGCCGCAAAACCAACCATTGCTAACTTTGTATGAGACGGCTGTCGTACTTTCTGCAGTGGAAGACACGCTCCGGGATCAGAACGCCGACTTCTCACCTACAGCTTACTTTGCAGCGCTACTTGCCTTGCTGTCTCAGTCGATCTCTGCCGAACAGGGCATTGTCAACAAGGATCTGGCGACCTCAGTGGTCTACCTCCTCGACATTACTACCGCCTACGCCCCCGCTCCAATTCTCCGTTCCAAGTTCTCCCAGATCCTCACCAGCCTTGCCCCCGCGCTCTCTTTGCCCGAATCCGAAGCTCCGTTGCTTAGACCCTCGATCGGTTGTCTCGAGTCGCTACTCATCGCTCAGGATGCCGCAGCATGGAATCTCCCACACACTCAGATCAGCCCGCGCCGGGCCACTGCGGGCTTGCTGAGTCTGTCTGTGGATCACCGCCCCAAGGTACGCAAGAGGGCCCAGGACGCTTTGATCAAGGTCCTGAAGACCCCTCCCCCCAGCCCGTCGCTTGATCACCCAGCTGCAGATATGTGTGCGGAGTCCGCACTGCGCACATTGGGTGACAGTATCGCCGCAGCAGCCAAACAGAAGCGGGGCCGTAATGATCCTCACACACATAACCATGATCCGTTGGTCATCCACTCCCTTCAACTGGTGAAGACGGTCGCGACCGCCTCAGGAGGCTGGCCGAGCAAGAAGATTGAGCCCTTATGCGAGTTGTTGATGAATGCTTCCCGATCGAGCAACGAGTATATCACTATGGGTGCGTTTGAGGTGTTCGAGGTTATTTTCTCCAGCATGGCCGACGAGTTCTCGTCCTCAAAGCTGCCCCGTCTTCTTGAGGCGATTTCCGAATTGAAGCCCGCACAGAACGATTCGCAGTTGCTTCCTCCATGGATTGCTGTTTTGTCCCGTGGTTACGATGTGTCTTCCCAGATCAGCCCCGAGGATACCTTCGAGAAGCTGCCCTCGTTGTTCGACATGATCTCCAGTTATTTGGCGTCGCCATCAAAGAATATTCGGATTTCGGCATCGGAATGTCTGGTTTCGTTCATGGCCAACTGCATTCCCCACAGTGTGATCATTGAGCCTTCAGTCTACGATGAGAAAACGCTCGAGAGGTTGGCCAAGAAGGCGACGAATCTGCTTTCCGTGAAGTACCAAGCGGCTTGGGCGGAAGTGTTCAATGTGTGCTCCGCGATGTTCGATAGTTTCAAATGGCGGTCCAGTCCGTTTTTGGATGACATTGTGAAGACTGTGGGAGAGCTCCGTAGTAATGAATCCTTCCATGGCAAGAAGCAGGCCGATCAGGTCCTCGGCAGTGCCGTTGAAGCCATGGGCCCTGCAGCGGTCCTTGAGATTCTGCCTCTAAATATCATTGAGCAGAAGGCTGGCCAACCGGGTCGCGTTTGGTTCCTCCCTGTGCTTCGAGACCATGTTACCAACACAAACCTCTCTCATTTCCGTTCCGAGCTCGTTCCTTTGAGTGAAGCCCTGTACCAGAAGGTTATGGCCTTCACAGCCGCAGAGAAGCCTGTGGAGACGAAGATCTTCGAAACACTTGTTCAGCAGACTTGGTCTATTCTTCCTGGATACTGCGAGCTGCCTTTGGATCTAGTTGAGGCTTTCGACCAGAGCTTTGCCGAGCTTCTCTCCAACGTGCTCTACAAGCAAGCTGATTTGCGTGTGGACATTTGCAAGGCTTTGCAGAATCTGGTTGAGTCAAACCAGGCCATTCTGTCCCTCGAGACGGAGGGTGATGACCTGGTTCTCCAGCGTAGGATTACCAAGAAGGATGCAGAGAAGAACATCGCCCATCTTGCCGGGTTTGCCAGCAACTTGCTGGCGGTGCTTTTCAACGTATACAGTCAGACACTTCCACACTACAGAGGCTACATTCTGCAGTGTATTAATGCTTACTTGAGTATCACGCCCGAGAAGGTTAGTCGAGCTCGCTTATTCCGCTACTCTTGAGCTACAAACTAATTAATATGTTACAGGAGCTCAATGATACATTTACACGTGTTACTACTATGCTGGAGTCGTCGGTGGTTTCAGAGAAGGAGGCTGCGGAAAAGCAGGGTCATCAACAGGGTGGGGCTGGTGACAAGATGCCTCCAACCTCTCACACTTTGATCGACTTGGTTATCGCCATGTCGATTTATCTACCTCGCTCCAGCTTTGCAAGCTTGTTCGCCATGGCTTCGGCTGTCCTGAATGGACATACTAGTGATCAGCAGCTGACCAAGAAAGCATACAAGTTGATTCCCCGTTTGGCCACCACTGAGACAGGTGCTGCTGCTCTCCGCGAACGGAGTTCCGAACTCCAAACCCTCATCCTTTCGACCGCGGATAAGACACCAGCCTCTGCTCGCCGTGACCGTATGCTTGCCATCGACGAGCTCATTACGTACCTACCAACCTCTGACCTGCATTTCATCCCCTCCATCCTTTCCGAGGTTGTCCTGGGCTGCAAGGAAAGCAACGAGAAGGCCAGAACTGCTTCCTTCGATCTACTCATCCACCTTGCGAAGAGAACTGCCGACTCTGAACTGAACCCAGCTGGAACCAAGATTCGCAACTCACTGGTACCCCACATGCCCGACAATGCTCCCGATGCTCCTGCAACCATGGAGGAATTCTTCACTATGGTGTCTGCGGGTCTGGCGGGTAGCTCACCACACATGGTTGCTGCCTCTGTGACAGCCTTGTCTCGCCTGTTCTTCGACTTCCACACCGAACTTCAACCGGCTGTGCGCTCCGACCTGGTGCAGACTGTGGAGCTGTTCCTTACCAGCAACAACCGCGAAATAGTCCGGTCTGTGCTCGGTTTCGTCAAGGTTGCCGTTGTCGTGCTTCCCGATGATGCTCTCCGTGCACGCATCAACTCTCTGGTACCAAACCTCATGGTATGGAGCAAGGAGCACAAGGGTCGTCTCCGCAGCAAGGTCAAGGGTATCTTGGACCGTCTGATCCGCCGCTTCGGTGCAGCCCCGATTGAAGAACTGGTTGGTGAGGCCGACCGGAAGCTAGTCGTGAACATCCGGAAGCAGCGCGAGCGTAGCAAGAAGAAGAAGCAGGCTGAGAAGGGTGACGAGGACGAAGAGGAAGAAGAGGCTGCTGACAACAAGAACGCCAAGGCCCAGTCTTACGGCAGCAACGCCTTCGACAGAGCCGTCTACGACTCCGACTTCTCCGACTCTGACGATGACGCCAGCGAACTCGATGTCGACGAACATGGCGACACCCACGCCATCAACAAGGGTGGCCGCAAGGGCAAGAAGTCCAACAAACAGAGCGAGCAATACATCCGCGAGAACGATGACAGCCCGCTGGACCTTCTCGCCCCTGACGCCTTGGCCAGTATCTCGACCACCAAGCCTAGCGTCCGCTTCCTCAACACCGGCCCCGGATCCCGCCGCAAGCACTCCGCTAAGGTCGACGCAGACGGCCGTCTCCTCCTGGGCGATGATGACAACGACGTCGAGATGTCCGGCGGCCTTGACGGCAACGCCGAAGCAGGCGACAGCGCAATCAACGCCTACGTCGCCGCCGTCAGCGGACCCGACGCCGTCCGTCGTGGCCAGCGCGGCAAGTTCAAGATGTCACAAGCCCAGAAGGGCAAATCCAACCGTGGAGACGACATGGACGTGGATGAGGGCGACGAACCCACCTCATCAAGAGGTGGCAACAAACAGCAAACCGGCCGTCGCGGTCTTGGGATGCCCAAGAGCCACGGACCCAGCGGAGGACGGATCCAAAAGCGAAAGCCCATGCGCGGCGGTCGCTTCGGAAAGAGGAGATAGAAAACAGAAATCCACCCTCCCCAATCTCACACATATCCAATTCATAACCTCCCACATCCGTTCTTCTTTTCTCCCCATACTTCCCAATTCACAAAAAGAAAACAATCTCTTAACCTATATGAATTGATGTTGATGAAACAGGAAACTGATGAAGTCCCTAAGTTAACAGTTTTTCTGTATTTGAAAGCATGGCTGGACAAAATTGAATCCCTTTTTTTTTCCGTTGTTGTTCGTTTGTGGTACAGTTCAGTTCAGTTGCACTGCGCAAAAATTCTCTGGTTGCATTGGAAGTTTCTCTGTAGTTGAAAACTTATCGTCTTTATTTTTATCTTTTATCTTTTTCTCTTCTCTTATTGTGATTACGTACATAGGTATCTTTATACCCTGAAGTTGCTGAAATATTATTGGTTCATGGGAATGCAGTGTTCGTATTTTTGTAGAGCGATGTGTGTCGGCAGTCTGTAGTGTGATTGATGCAATTAGGTGGAGGAATATGAACTATACAAAGGAAAACTCTTGCTGCATAGAACATGTCAGATGGGACAATGCACTGCGTACCGGACTACGAGACTACCAAACTCTATTACATCGGTCCAGCCAGTCACTTTGTCTGGTTAGAGATCACATTCGGCACGGGAAGCCAAGACCTTAAATTACGGGTAACCATGGATTAGGTAAAGTTCAGATATTTCAAGAGCAATGGATGGACCGATCACATAAAGAAGCAGATCAAAGGGTATGAGACCAGCCCGGGTATCAATTCGTATGAGGTAGTAGTACAGTACACAAAAGTTCCTGGTTCGTGATTCGATGATAATCCCTGTTGGCCTGCATATTAGCTGAGGCACCATGAGCAATTCCGTCAGGAGCCGTTTTCGTTCTTTCACAGCGCACATTGGATATTGGAAAGGAGAAAATAGAAGCAAAAAAAAGTACCAAAAAAAAAACTGAAAACTGCTCCTGGCGCCTATGCGACCAACCCAACTCCTGTACACATGAAATATCTCCTCAAATCAATGAGAAGGCGAAACAAAAAGATATCAGAAAAAGAAGAAAAAAGCCCCTCAAAAGTCATTCCACATATCCCACATATTGGTATCATGTCAACATCGAAAAGAGCCCAATAGCCAAGACGGGATCACGCTTAATAACAAAGAACGGAATAAAAATGAGAAAACGCAACAAGGATAATCTACAGACAGACTATTCGCGAGGCGGTTTCCGGGCCCTGCGTAGCCATATCTGCCACCATCGACAAACACCGAGTACGGCAGCACGGCCGTCGTCTTTCCGTTCGGTGCCATCGGGATTGCCCAGTACCATGGCGAAAACCCAGAAAAAGGCTGCGGTCCAGACGAGGAGGAGAAATGCGACGGAAAGAAGTGATGATAGCAAGAGGACCGCAATCAGGCCAAAAATGGAATAGTGTTCGCTTGGATCCGGGATGGATGACCCATCGGCGTCATTATATACCGATTGTGTCGCGGGACCCCGCAAACGAACTAATCGCTCATGAATATGCAATTGGGGTACCAGAAGATGGCACAACTGTTCGCGAAATGATGTTGATCGAAAATATGGGATGCAGGGGCAAATGCGGAAAGGTGAGACGAGAAGAACGAGGAGTAACCCGAAGACGGTATATAAGGATGCGCAAAGAGAAAATATGGGTACCGGGACGGACAATCGAAACTATGGACGCCAAATGGTTAGCCAGAAACGAGAGAAACAAAGACATGAAAGGCTAATCCTTACTAGCATCAGCAGGGCATCCTGACTATCATCCGCCAAGGGTTCTTCCGTATGAATCGCTCGTTTCTGAAGGCGGGTTGCGCCGAGATGATGATTATCGCTCGACATGTACGACGAATGATCCGTCCAACTCCTCCGGCCACGTTCTTCTTTACGAGCCGCTCCACCACTATACGAAGTTTGTGTCAATATGGAACCGTTGTCCAGATAGGGCGAGGATACGAACGTCATCGGAGCCACGACCGGCACCTCAGAATCCGGATAGATTGACTCCGCCGGGGGCTGACGGTGGGGAGGCTTATGGGACTGTTGAGAATGGCGATGGGAATGCCGAGGGTAGGTATTATCCCATGAATCGGAGGAGGGATAAGCGTTGGGTAATGTATTCTCGACCGAATTGAGTTCCGGATAACGGAAATCATGCCCGTGATTAGGCAATGATGGGGGCCCCGGGGGAAGATGTGCGGCCGCAGGAGCAGGAGTCGAATCGTGGAGATATGCCGTCACGCGATGATCATGGTCCTGGTAATAGGCGGGAGAATGGGACATCTCCGGCTGCCTCATGTTGGAGCGGATGATAAAAAGGGAGACGAAAGAGTCGGTGGAGAAATCAAGGGCGTGATAGCGTTTCGACGGCCCCCCCTTCAGAAATGCGACACAGAGTGGTACAGAATCGTACACAGGGCGACAAGGTTATGCTCACCGCATGGCTCGCAGCGCAAGGGGCATACCCGCTGATAAAGGCAAGTGACGATCCCACAGCAAGGTGGGGGAGAAAGGTAGTGGTAGAAGGGGGGAGGGAAAGGACCAGATAAGGTGAGGAGGGCTGATCGGAGGGATGGAGGAGACGGACAGAGGAGCGGAAGAAGGGGAAACTTATAAGAGTGCCATGGACAAGCAATAGTAGGACAGAGCGGAAGTCCAAGACAAGGACAAGAAAAAAAGGCAGAGCTCAAATGCAGCGGAAAGGCTCTCCTTCTTCTGCTTTTTCTTCGCTGCCAAGACGCCCAGATGCCGAGCCCTTGGCACCCTGGACGACGTCAATAGATGGTCACTTTCTTCATTTTTTTTTTTTTTCTTTTTACTTTTCTTCCTCCCCTCAATAATTGTGGGTGAAGATATCATGTATATATCACGGAGGTAGATCGAAGTCCATGGTCGGGGAGAAACGACGGAGAAAGGATCCTCGGGGCTGAGAGAAGACCCGCGCCATTTGGGCGATACAACAAAATGTTGAAGATGCTTGTGTTCGTGTCCCGTCGAGTAAAGAATGGATGGGGGTCAATACCGTAAACCTACGGAGTCATACGGGCCTCGGTGGTCACTGCAGTATTGGCACTTTACCTTTTCTAGCCACTCCGCCAAGATGCCAAGAGCCCTGCGGGGATTTCGACAACACCTAAAGGCGCCGTTATTGGCTGCCTGGACAAAGGAAAGTGTCTATGATCCGCGTTCGGAGGTGGATGGGCGGCTTGGCAGTACAACACCAGATCTTTTGGGGGCACTAGTTTGCGTACGGCGTATGCGCCATTACATACCCTAATACTTTGGTGGTTTTTTTGTTTTCCATGTTTCGTTTTATTCGTCAACTGGTTTCATCTTCCCCTTTATAACTAATTCCACATTGTTGGTTATCTTGCGCATATAGACATGGATCTCTATTCAGATGTCCCCATTGTGTGATGGAACCTCCTTCATGATAAACCAAACCTCGGAGGGATGAATGAGAGTTACGAAAGTCAATCGATGGCTGAAACCTCGAAGAACGAGTCGCTCTTCCCACAACCACGCCGAGCCAATTGCCCAGAGTCGCCGAGAGATTGGCAGTCGTCCCCCTTCCCTCATCACTTTTTACAGTGGGCGTCGTGTCTAAAGTGGCGCAGGAAACGATCAATATATTAGGTAAACAGCAACTGCACAACTATTTCTGTCTCGGATTGTCAGACGTGGCCTGGCCGCGATCGTCACAACTACTGCAGTCGATCGGCGAGCAGAAGATATTTACCATGTAATAGAGATTCTGGAGGTAGTGTATCCCGATGTGGCTCTCCTACAAGCTCTCTATCGGAGTGGACTGCTTGCCAGCTTGCCCCGAGAAGATGTCGATCCCTAGCAGTATCCGACCAGCTTCTCCTCGGATCTCCCACCGGCTCGAGCACAAATGACATGTGGCGCTGCACGGCATAGAATTCTAATCTCTGGCACTCACAATGAAAGTCTTGTCCTTTCATTGTTACTAGCATTCTCTGGGCAGCAGTTACCGTTGGCTCGTTTTATCTCGCAACAGTTCCAGGCGCCTTGGCCACGCTGCCGAGAGAACCCCAGGGATGAAGCGCAACCTCGTGCTCTTGGCCAGGGACAACATGTCATTTGTCATAACCAAGACTCCCGTAGCTAGAGCGGAGTAAGGTCTGGGGAAGCGGGTATGACCGCTCACGATCCCTAAAGTTGTTACCTATAAGGTGTGTACCACGAAGCATACGTACTCATAGCTTGGCAATAGAGCCGCTATAAGAGTGGCGCGCGATGAGGTTCGTTCTTATCAGGTTAGAAATGGAAAAAAGAAAAGATAATCTACTCCCACATAACTGTATTAACCATATCAATATATCTCGGTGACAGTCGATGAGCACAGTTCATCATATGCTGCTGTAACACGCCATCAGCCCACGTTATATTAAAGTCGGGTCAAATACATAATTCCGTCAGCCTTGGCGCCGATAAAGTCTCAATGAAATGAGTGCCCAATCCACTAGGGTCATCATCAGTCTTGCGTAACAGTTGGCTGTAGCGGTGTCGGAAAACCCGCGATAAAGACAGCCATTTGATTTCCGGCACCTATTATTGGACCATACATGACTACGAAACCTATGTAAATATTCCCTAAAATAACGATCTGTCGGATGGTCGGTCATGTGCGTTATAGGAAACTTTCGCTGCACGCCCAACTATTCAACTTTAATTTATTCAAACGGCTTCGACACACATAAGCGACACACTTAAATACTTTAGATTGTCAGAATTATTCGACGGTGCCGGTTAGCCGAGTGGGCAACTGAAATCTCGTGGCCTTACCGGGCTGGCCATCAAACGCCCCCACTCTGGGAAAACCAAGTGCTGGACCGCTGTCTCAGCCTTGATGCAGTGGTTGACACCCTTATTCACTCCACAGGCTCGACCGTTTGTTCAAGTTAACACCAGATGCTGACCATATTCCACAGATCTATTAAGACTCATACATTAGATTACAGATGAATGATATCCATCCAAATGATTATACTCCTACTAGTCATGCAGATCTCGGCCGATAGTATGAGCACGGATTGTCCTCAAGATCTGCATATGGGGGCCAATTGCGGTTATCTCGTGTGTGGGTAGAGGGAGCATCAGAACAGATGGCCCGAGGTTCTACCGCCTACATCGACGTCAAATGGGAACAATACTTCTGTATCTAACCCTACATTAAGCAAGATCCCATCCACAAATATCATCACTTACTCACGGATGTACATATATATATATATATATATATGCACATGACGCCATACATACAACGCAGGCAAAAAAAGAGCGAGAAGTATCTCCCGAGAGAATCAAAATAATCATCAAGTCCCTCCACGCCACAAGATCAATCGCCACCCCCCCAGCTTAGCACACCCAGTGACGCTGATCCAGGACATGTAGAATGTTGTCATCCGGCGATTGTTTACTATGTTTATCCACCTACATACCATGAATGCCCAGTCCACATGCAAGGAGGTAGTGGAGCCGATAACACATCAAACCCACATATGTATGCGGTCCCCTGCATCTGAGAATAGATATGGACCCACCAACCCAAGCAAAAAAGCAGGTTCCGCTTCATAGGAAATGTCTCCATCATAGGGCTCTTGTTGTAAGGGTATGTGATACGGCAGATGTCATGTTCCCTTTTCCTTCTTTCCTTCGGGGTGGTTTGGGGGAACTATTGATTCATTTAAACTTTATCGTGCTTCATTGGGCTAGCTTGAGGTCGATTGTAGCGGGCATTTCTAAGCCGTTCTGATCGGGTTTGCTCGTTGATCTTCGTAGAGTTGGTATGTGTCTGATGGGTGGTTGAGTTATGGAACATTCCTGTGGGTCTGATCATACCCGTCACGACGGAAGGGGATATGTTATGGGTCTAATATTGTCCTGATGTGGTTGATCTCGGCAGTTTCCTCTAGCATATGCCCGTATGTATTGTGCCGAAACATCATAATTCTGTCAAGGGGCATATTTAGTGAATCATGACTCGAGTGGTATGGTTGGTTTATTGACGCCATATGAGACGTGTAGGAACACAGAATCTCGGACATGGGCTAACATACGTTCTGTAGCTGGATATTGTGACAGAATTTGGCTGCAGCTGGAGATTCGCCGAATGCATCTAGTGGAGCTTCTCTAGTCACGTCACTACGGTATGAACCATCGATCATGACCGATAATAAGTATCTTTTGGGTAACAGATACTACTGAGAAAGGCCTTTGGATTTTATAACCCACCGCTAGCTAGCATACTATACAAAAAAAGGCTTCTAAGCCTCAGACTTATCAATACCAACCCACAGAACGAGCCAACAGCCCCCTCAAAACACCAAGTTCAGGGCCCATACCCCAATGCTAGGTCGAGTAAGCTCAATATAAGGTTCAACACTCCTCAAGCAACATCCCTTCTCCATTTCAACAAAAACACATGATCCTAAACTTGAATCCAAGACCCCCTATTGAATCATTCATCACACCTTCAGAAACGGCCATAGGGCTGGAATGCTAGCAAGTAGTTCCCAGATTCCTCGTATCTAACATTCCACGTCGCACTGGTTCGTTACGTTCCCGGACATTCCTGTCCCTTACGGTAAATTGGCATCCCAGAAACCTGGCCCATTTACTTTATCCTCACGAGTTCCACTTTTGAACTGTACGGCATACTATAGTAGTAAGTTCCCAGCGACATCCACTCTTTATGAGTGCTATATATTTTATCTACTCAGTACCTATCAAACACCTGGAAACATGAGTCCCCCTTTAAGTAAAAAACACAATAAGAGGTGCCCACTCAGGGACCGGAAGCAACCGATTGAGATCGACAAGGCCTTATTTATTTACCTCATCATTTGAATGCCGCATTACAGACCCCGAACTTACTTCAATTGTGAAGTATCCGAAACAAGTGCAGCAGAAGCAAGGACCGATCCGACCGGTATTTACCGGGAGATTAGAGCTCAAGAAAGGGAAAGTGAAAGGGGTCCTTTTTTTTTATAAAAAAAAAATTTTTTGAAGAAAGAAAAGAAGAAGGAAGGGGGTGGGGGGAAAGAGAAAAAAGGGTCCTGTCCATGGCAACTGTCAAATAGTCCAGAATAGACATAGATCCTGATGATGAGATGAATATGTGCAACGGTGGAGATTCCTGTGGCGACTGTAATGTAAATGTAAATGTGCAGTATAAATCCTTGCCCAGCGCAGTGTTAATCGTATCCCTGGAGTGCAGTTCGATGCAACACGCACAGCAGGACAGATTCGGATCCTGTTGGGTGAACTGCAGACTTTGCTGTGTAACTCAAATATATATATATCAACACTAGTTGATAAATGGGTGAAGAAGAAGCGAGGAGGAACAAGGAAAGATGAAGAGGAAAAAGAAGAAAAGCGAAACCTGCGATTTTCCATATCTTTTTTTTTTATTTTCTTTTTCATGAATTTTGCTTCACATGGATCAGTAGTAGCATTAATAATAGCGCGCCCAATTCATTTCTCGCCCGTGCGCTCGCCTATACGCAGCATCAGCAATTAGATCCTTTCTGTCAACTGTGTGCCCAAGTGACACGAGTGATGGGCGACTGGGCCATCTTGCTTACTAGTAGTACTCCGCACTACGAGTAGGTAGGACCTTCCAATCCTAGTCCGCAGACATGCATTGCATTGCAGCAACAGGTAGTCCAGAATCGTAGCAGGGATTGGTGTTACATCCTTGCTGATGGGGTTATTTTCATGCTGCAGTTAGCAAAGCTTAAATGATTTGTTGGGGGGGTGTGTCTGTGTGCCGTTTTATGCACCTCTCTCTATCTTGTTCTAGGTAGACTGGTTTGATGGTGTGTGTGGGGGGGGGAAGTAACTACGAGGTTCTTGGCATTCATTGATCGTCATTCTTGTATTCGGGCTG